AAAAGTTATTAAACACCTGAGTGGCGCACTACTGCTACTAGTGGTGGGAAAGTGTATTGCACCTTATTCAAAATCAATGCAGTCCTGTGGCCCTCTGCGGCCCAAAGTTAAAAACTGTTGTTCTTTTGAGGCCCTCAAGGTGGCGCTCACGGCCCATAGGTTAAGAATCTCTGTTTTAAAGGTTTTAGGTTTCAAAATAATCGGACTCTTGCCACACTTGTGTACATGCTGCTGCATGCTTTTAGTCAGTCTTTGTGCCGATCAGGTTTGTAGGTATTTCCTTGCTGCAGATGAGAAAACATTCACAGACAGTTTAAATCCAGGAGGAGTTCAACTATTTGTTTGACGTAAGAAAGCTGGGTGGTCCCACTGCCCCTACCTTGCTTAAGTTTAAAAATATATATATATTTACCCCACTTGGAGTTTGAGAAGCACAACACATGGTGGTGCCTCTGCTCCCCCACCTGCTTCGTCTTCTACATAAGCCAAGGTGGTCCGAAAACGTGTCAGTAGTGTTATACGGTGTCTTCTGAAAGAGCCTATATCGGTTATGTCCCAGTTTCCAAAACAGACTTGTGAAAACATGGCGTATCACCTCACATGACTCAGATAACTGAGTCACATGAGGTGATTTTGTCATTGCCCACATGTGCATTGAAATCACCCAGTACAACAAGTGACTCCATAAAAATAGAGCACCCAGAGGTCTATAAAGTTGAAGAGACCATTATGTTAGAAAGAAACCACATTTTTCAATGGAGGAACTGTGTTTTGCATGTTGCTGATGTGGATTTAAGCTGCAGCCTTCTTTAATATTTCATGTTTGTCAACTGGTTAATATTACAGTAAACCTTCTCACACACTACTGGAGTTTTAATCAATTTTTAAGCTATAAACACAATAGATAATGCTCATATTGCTTTAGCTGGGTTAGGCCATTTGGTAAGGAGTGATAAATACAATTTAATTTAAGATAGTGATTTTTTTCCCCTAAAGGTTTCTTAGAAAGGAGTTGGACTGAACTGAACTTGTTAGCATACTTTATGCACACTTTAGCCCACGTTAGCTATGTTTTTTGTGAACAGATAACAATGGGCCTACATGAATAGTGAACTGAAACAGCAAAACCCTGACTCATAATATCTACATTTTAGTAGATAGCAGAGGTTTATAGTAATTAAGTACATTTACTTTGCTACAGTACTTAAGTAGTTTTTTGTTGATTTGTAATTTTACCATTTTTAAGTAGCTACTTTTACTTTTATTTAGTTATATTTTAAGCAAAAAATTGTACTTTTACATTTTTGCTTTAAAATTTAACACTTAGTTACTTGTTACAAAATTAAATATGTTAAAAAATCAAGATGTGTATCCACTCTAAAATATAAAGTGTTGAATTTACTCAACAAAGTCATGTCAGTTGGCTCCACTAAACCTAGTTGAGTAAATTGAGCAAAGAATAAACAAATATTGCTCAAATTACTCAACCTGGCCAAGTAGAAACTGTTCAGTAAATTCAACAGTTTATTTCTTTGAGAGTGTGTAAAAGTACTTTTACTTTTACTTTCCCAGTTTTTGTAAACAGTTTTATGACTTTTAATTGAGTAGTTTTCTAATCAGTGAAATTAATTTTTTACCAAAGTCATTTTCTGTTCATGTACTTTTACTTAGTTATTTTTTTCAAGTACTTTATAGACCTCAGATAAACGTTCAAATTTTAAAGAGGATAGGCCCACAGCCATGTTCCGATAAAAAACAATGGTAATAACATTTCTATGAAAAAAGTTAGGACTAAAGACAAATTTTTAGTGTCCCACCTTAATACACTGATTTAAATTTATTTTATTAATCCTATGAATTTAGTAAAATGCTCTTGAAATGAGTAGGAAGTTTTGAGCATATTTTTGTATATACCAGGAGGAAATTTGCTGCTGTTGAAGTAACATGTATTAAAACTCTAATCCAATGAACCTGCAACATGTGATTCTCTCTTCTACCAATGAGCATGTGTGATCCCATTCCATGACCCAGAACGCATCTCTTAGTTAAGCCTGACACATTCACAAAGTTGAAGGGTGGAGGTGGGGGTGCAGGGGGCCATTCCGACTCCCTCCCAGCTTCCTTGCAACAACAATGGTCCATGAGGAGCTGTGCTTGAATGGTAGCTGGGTTCAATGCTGACACCCAGATCTGCAGAACCACAAACCAGTCTGGATTATTGTCAAAGTTGATGACCTGTTTTTTTAACCCCCTCACCCACCTCCTGGGGAGAGGTGAAGGTGGCTGGTCTCCAGGGGCTCCTCCCGCTCTGCGTTTTCTTTTCCGTCTTCTCATTCACGCTTCAGTCCTGCAGAGCTACCTCCTCCTCCCCTCCTGTTTCCTACATCGTGTCATTAACTCAATTACATCGCATGTCATTAAACACATCAGGGAATGAAGCTGGAGCAGTTTCTCTTGTCTCAGATTTATGAAGTGACTGTAATCCTGATACCAGCTACTATTTCCTGATGAAGAGAGCAAACACTGGATTTAGTTTGTTACTGGGGGGTTTCTCATAAACTTTATTTTTCAGGGTCCTTCAGAGTTAAATTACACTGAAAACATCAGCTAAAATGAACTTAACATTTACTATGTGTGAAAGTAGAAAAATGTGACCAACATTAACAGCATGAGGCCTGCAGGATAAATTACTCTGTTTTACAATTTATTCTGTCCTAAGAAAAGTTGATCAATGGTTAAACACTATTAAACTATCAATAGATAATTCCCGTCACACTTCCTACATCGAGACATTTTGACAGTCAAAAAACACAATTCTTAATAACTTACTGTAGAATAAAAATTAGTAAAGTTTCATTAAACTTCATCATCCCGAGGATTAAAAGCAGTGAAAGTGAGCGAATTTTGCTACTTAGCATCGAGCGTTAACTAATGCTGGCTGAAAACACACGGTAACTAATACTGCACAAGTTTGCTCTTATCACTTAGCAGTAACTAAAGACAATTGTAAATTCTTCTTGAAATAACTGGTCCCAACAGTCAATCAATCACAATTGTGACTTGAAATGAATGCCAAGTGATTACATCTAAATTAATAGGCATTTTTCTTCTTGTTAAAATGTTCATATTATTTTAAATTTCATGTTCAATTCATGTTAATTTGAGACTAGAAATAAAGGTCAATGAAGTTTTATATCTAAAAGCAAATAAGTTACATTCGTTAAACAACACTTTACCTGCTTGTTTGGAACTGTTCATTAGTTTTTGTGTCCTCACACCTTCCACGAGCCACTATTGCTTTGCTCGAAAGTGACCAAAGACTTTAAGGATCACAGTTTATCTGTGGTGTCAGCACTTTTTTTGTGAATTAATAATTTACAGTAACGATGTGCATGACTGTCTGGCAAGTACAACTCGGCACTTAGTCTTTATCCTCCTCGTATCTCAGTAACAGCAAATGTTTTCTTCGTGGCTTTGTAATAACAATCTATTGCATCACTGTAATGAGATTCAGCCTTTGATGAACAGCTCACAAAAAATATTAAATATTTTTCTACATTTATGTGAGGAAAAAAACACAAAGCCTTCATAGCACTGCTCATAGAGTTTACTGGAACACTATCAACATGGCTTCTGGTCCAGTTTGCTGCAGCCTGCAGTCCTCCATTTAAATGCTTTTAAATGCTTCTTTTTAACATTTAAATCCTGCAGCTGGGGTCTAAATAAAGTGGACCTGCAATGCTTTGGTCTGAGTTCCTTCTTATTGTAACTCAACAACCCCCTCTTTCACTCTTTTTCTGAGGTGTGTCTCAAAGCAACTCGTTTTAATGGTGGTCTCTTTAGACCCAAACGATGCACTGCACTCACAGCCCCCTCCAGTTTCCATTGTGCTCTGAGAGAGGGGTTTCCAACTATGTAGTTGTGCAGAAACTTATTATTTACAAATTCATCAAAAGCTGTCAACAAGTGAAGACTTGTCCATCCAGACATACATGTTGGAGCCAGAGTCTGACCCAGAGCCAGAGGAGAAAGATGTCAGAATTTTAGTTGGTAAATTCAGATCTTGGCAGTTCTGTCGCAAATCCTTTGATGCAATATTCAGAAAACTTCATAGAAAGTAGAGAAAACTGGAAAAATATGACCCAAACAAAATATAAAGATGTCTACGCAGCACCAGGAGAGACACAATTCAAATTTCTGCACTCGTAGAGACTGTAAAAAGTGGATTTTGCATGATAGCTGATTGCCTGCACCTGCAGGTTCATCTTTAAATACTCTTCCTGTCCCATGCACTCTGCCAGGTGGGTGCAGACGGAGGAGAGGAGAGGAGATAAAGCTGGTAGAGAGCAACAGGTGTTGTGCAAACATTTTGAATTTGGTGGTGAGCACAAGTTCATTTGTAACTGGCTGGAATGGCAACTCAGGTAGAGGATGACAAAAACATGAATTTTAATGATTGTAAATGAAAGCAGAGGAAGGAGAAGACAAATCTGAGGAAAAAATTGAGCTTAATATAAAAAGTCTGGAAAAATAATGTAAGACTGACGGATTTTGGGGTAAAACAAAGTCACAAAGCAGTGATTACAGGGATTTTAATAGACAGACTTGAAAATTTTAAAAAGTGTTTAAAATGTAGAAATAAGCAGCTGAATATTAAACATCCCTCGTAGGGCTGGGGTCAGCCGGGGGCAGACCCAGAAATCGTTGGAGGGATTGTGTACCTCCTCTAGCCTGGACTGCCTTGGGGTCCCCCAGGTGGAGAAGTGTCACTGGGGAGAGGGATGTCTTGGTTTCTCTTCTGGACCTGTTGTCTTTACAAACTTTGAGTTACTGCTTCTACTTTAAGTGGTAGAAGATGGAGATAGTTTGATGGTGGAATAAAATGTGAAGTGTATGTTTCCAGGATTCAAAGAAGGTATTCTAGAATCGTTGAGTTGGTTTGAGGGAGGGCTCTGAGCTGATTTTTATTATTATTAATTTTTTTGTTTGTTTGATTTTAGGAGAGATCGTAGAGATGTTTTCAGGAGGAGACAGCTGTGGAATCCAACCAGGAGAGACGAATGAGCAGCATGGAGATTCACACAGAAAGGATTTCTCAGTGGGGATGGAAACACCAGGGTTCCTGGGAGAACTGCAGAGAAACACAGGTGAGTCTGATTCACAAGAATAACCTCGCACATATAATAGAGCACTAAGGGTTGAGAAGCTGAAAACATTAGTGAAGTTCAACACTCCAAAGAGCACAGCCAAAGCTCAGTATTAAGAATCCTCATGGCAATCAGCATCAACAGGATGCAGCTGGTGCAGCTCCACCCAACTGTAGGAATAAGCTTCTCACAAAAACTCACAGAATAAATAGAAAATATTGCATAAGGATGTTCCATTTGAGGTTTATTCAATGTCAATTAAAAGTAGTAATAGTATCCTTTATTTAACCAGGAAAATAACTCATTGAGATTAAAAACATATTTTCCAAGACTGACCTGGCCTAGACAGCAGCATAAAAACGCACAACAAATCTAAAATACAAGACAAGATACACAAAGCACAAAAATAAGAGACATCACATACCTGAACTTTAGGGCAGTTCCAGGAGTCAAGTGATCTGTTTCCTCTGTCCTTTAGGATTGATTTGAAATTGCTCCAAGGTAACAAGAGACTTGGTCCAACATTAAACCAGCAAAACATTTATGAAGTTTGTTTTTGATACAAGGCTTCATTTAAAACTATGATTAAAGTTGTGTCGTTGTCTCCACCAGTGAAAGGTAGCAATGCACTAGTTGGTGCACAGTCTGCTGGAAATGACAAGAAGAAACAGAAAAAGAAGAACAAGGACTATTGCACAAAAATAACAGAATCCTGACATTCACTATTTTTCACCCATGCTAAAATGAAAGTAAGACAACGATTAGGCATCATTCTAGCCTGGTAAAAACCAGCCTCTAGCTTGTTCTTCACTTTGCTTCAGAGGGTCTGGACTGAGAAATTGAAAAGCGATTTCTTGCTGGAGATGTGGACTCTGTTGAAGTTTAAAATGATTGGATCTGATTTTACACAGTTGCTAACATTTGGCCGTGGTGCACCAGCTCGACTGTGAAGGAAGCTAAGCTAACTTGCTAACTGGCTGTTAACAACCATCCACTACTGTGAAGAGAGAAGTACTGAGCAGAACAAGATGGCTGTAAATGAGTGTTTCAGGCTTTGTGATATCAATTTAATTTAGTCTGGAACCTTGTCAGCATGAACTGAATGGCTTCATTTACTTCCTCCACTGCCAAAACTACTACAGGCAAACTAAAGCGGTGCCGAAAATTTATGTCATTGTTCACAACTCCTCCTCCTGTTCACTGATTGGTCCGATTGAAATTTTACCTGAGAAATCCATGTCAATGGGAAAAATCTCAGATGGAGCAGAGAAGGGAGATTAGAATTGAGCGTAACTGTGTAGGAAGGCAAGGGCCAGGCTAGCAGGGTTCTAATCTACACACACCACATCAGTTGGTGACGGTGATGCATCAATTTGTTGTTTGCCAACCACCAAAGAAAGTCCAAGAAAAAAAAGAATCCTCTTTTTCAGATTGTCTTCAGCCCTAGTCTCAACGATTCAGTGGTTCTTCCAAGTTCAAGCACCAAGTTTTGACCGAAGACCTGATTCTGGACTCTGATTTCTTCTCTTGACCTTCTTGCACACAACTGTCCACTTTCTGTGTGGATTCTGCATGTTCTCCCTATTCATGCATGTTTTTTCTGAAAACATGCATGCTAGTTAACTGGTAACAAGGTGAGAGTAAGAACATGAATGGTTGATAGGTCTCATTCTTCTAAATGTAGCCCTGTGATGGACTCACTATCAGACCCCACAAAGACTGCTGGAGAAAGGCATCTCCCTGTGATCCTGCATGGAAAAAGTTGTGGGATGGATGCTGAACTATTCCCACTCTAATTAGAGCCAGCTGACTCAGCAAACATGATGGAATAACACACAGTAAACTAAGTGCAGATGCTGAACTGTCCGGTTTTATTTATGAACAGAGGTCTGGCCACAGACACTGGACTTTCCTACATTAATAAAGGACAGGGAATGCAGAAAGGGGACTGGCTCACTAGTCAGGCCAGTTAAGTACATACATATGCTGGATTGTCCCACAATTGTACAACAAACTCAGCACAGCTAATGGACTGTCCCACAGATTTAATGAATAGCGAAATTAATTACCTGACATTAGTAATGGAAAGTGAAGTCAGCACAGGAACTGATCTGTCCCACAATTGTAATGAAAGTGAAATAAATTCTGTAGAATAAATTATTTCCTTTAATATGTCATTAGTCTTAATGTCTGTTTTGTCTTGGATGTAATATTTTGCACAAGTAAATAAAAATGACTGTTAAGTTAACATATTCTTACTGTCTCTACACAGATGAGAAATCTTTCTCCTAGTTTTACAAACAGATTGAAATGATGAAGAGTCCGGTTGTAAACAGATATCTTTGTAATGCCAAATTCAGCTCTTCATGTTGGTACACAGGATTAACCTGAGCAGTAAAGCCTCCTGTTATCTGGCAGCATTATCCCTCAGGAGTGCCTAACATTAGTGACCTGTAAGCCTGTGTGTTCACGGATGCTCTTCAGATTAATCAGTATTAAATGGACAAAATTATGATCAGGCAGGGTTCCACTCCTGTTGTTGAATAACTGAATATAACAGGTTGTTACCAAGAAACTTTTGCTATGATTGATGTTTTCTGTACCTGAAAATGTATTATTCTATACTTATATACAGCAACAAAGACAATTCATCCCAGCTTTTATGGTTAAGGAATCACCTTGTTGAAATCAATTTTCTATTTTCTGTCAAATTATTAATATTATTTTTGTTTCATGTGTTTTCTCTGGGAACTCCAGTTTCCTATCACTGACCAAAAAAATGGATATTAGGGTAAACGATAGCTGTAAATCATCCCTGTGAGAGTGTGAATGGTTGTTTGTCTCTTTGTGCTCCTGTGATGGATGTGTAACCTGTCCAGGGTGTACCCCACCTCTCACACAGTGACTGCAGGTGAAGCACCAGCTACATCATGACCCAGAATGTAGAAGTGGGTAAAGAAAATAGATGTTTATTTTGGTATTTTTCATAGACTCAACAAAAGAAAGTTTTGCGTGTGTAAAAAAATTGAAAAAATATGCAAAGCTGATCTCCTAACATGTGTGCTGAGGACTGAATCTATCAAATAAAATAGCAGGTGTAATTCATTTAGCATATTTGCCTTCATGAATATGAAGAATATATGATGATTAACAGAAGGCACAAAATTTGTGACTTATCAAACCCAAAACTGATCATGGATGCTGTTGTTGCATATCGCTAGCGAGTGGAGGCACTTGGCTGAATACAGATTAGGAACAGGTGAGTGGCTGTTGTAGGCTCACTGGAAAAGTACTGAGGGCGTAGTGGCTGATGGCCCAGCAACTGGAAAAGTGAAAATGGTAGCACTTTATAATAACTACACCTTATTGATCCTTAATTAATCATTGATAAATGGTTACTTAACCTTGAAAACATCAGTAATTAAGGATGGTTCAGACTTAATAAGCTATGAATTAACACATTAATGTTTTACACATAAAGGTTAATTACTTCTAAAACCTACATACACATTGTTAACTCATGCTTAATAACTCATGAGTTAACTATTCTATATATATATATTATATACT